CAAGTGGTGGGTGCTTCTTAATAAGAATTTATTCTTCTGTTTTACCTCTGATGATTTCGTCGAGCGAAAGAACGGCTTTGAATGTGTCCTCTAAATTTTTTATTGCGCTTGATATTTCTCCGCTTTTCATTTGTCTGTTGAACTGCTCTACTTTTTTGTTTTTTTTTGTCTCTCTCTCTCTCTCTCTCTCTGTGAAGCGTATTTGCAGTGGGACATTTCTTCACTATATAGGTCATTCAAGTCTCCTTTTTGCCATTGCTTAAGAGGCCTTGCTTTCATTTTAGATCAGCAACCATCGTTTTCGGAATTTGTTTTGCTCAGTTTTAATTGAGAAAAAATCAATTCTGCTTGAAATAAGAAGGTGTTTTCGTTCTTTTCTCGTAGGTTGTTCAGAGATCTAATGAGGGTTCCGAAGAATTTGTAACCAATTTTGTTTTTTGATTTGATCAAAAAGAGCGATTTCCAGTGACCACTTCAATGCATGTTTTCCCTATGGTTTCGATGAGTTCTGGAGAGGGATTTCCCCCCAAAACGTTCATGCCTGCTATACTAAAGGAGTTCAAGAAAAGCATTCAATTCTTGCCAGGACAACGGCTAACACTATGGAAAACTTAGAAATATGTGAAAATTTTATCAAAGAACAATTATTACCTAAGCTAGTCGGTAAAGACACTTTAAACCCTCAGTTCCGTGAGATATCTTCATTACGGCTTAAAATGGGCGGACTTAACATCAAGCTGCCATCCGATCATGAAAGCTATCTAGAATGGTCTAAAGAAACTTCACTAGTACTGGAATCCCAAGATCCTGTTACAGCAGTAACACAGCAAGAAAAAAACTGTATGAAAAGCAAAAAATTGAAAATTGTTAGAACAAATCGAAAAAAAAACAAACCCCATTAATTCTTTCAATGAAACAGATAAATACGCAATCGACCTGGCCTCTGAAAAGGGAGCCTCTAACTTGTTCAAGGCTTTACCACTGAGCAGATACAACTTCAACCTGAATAAATCAGAATTCATAGTTGGTAATTATTTAAGGTACGGATGGGAACCGACCAAAACCCCACTCACATGTGCATGTGGTGCTAATTTTAACTTGACACTTGCGCTTCACTGTGTCATAGTTCCTTTTCCTCAATGATGACCCTTCTGTAACTCTTTTAAGAATTTCAAAACTGCAAAGGCTGGTTACACACACATAAGACACAATGAAACTAAAGACACATGTGCCAACCCCATGAATGAGGTTTGCCATGACGTCGAGATTGAGCCGATACTTCAGCCGTTGTAAGGCGAAAGCTTTGTCAACAATTCAACTACAACTGAAGATGATGCATGACTTGACATTAAGGCAAACGGACTCTGGGGTTCACGATTCAGCCGCGCTTTCTTTGATGTGAAAATTTTCAACCCCCATGCCAAAACATCGCGAAAACAGGTTTCAGAAAAATCAAAAACTTCTCTGCCCGCTAATTTTTGGATGCACCGGTGGCGCTGCTTCAACAGCCACGCGGACGATGCAGCGATTAGCCGAAAAACTAAGTGAAAAAAGACTAAAAAGCTATCCAGAATCTATAATCTACATAAGAACTAAAATAAGCTTCGCGCTCCTGAGGAGCTCTACTTTGTATAAGGGGTGCAGATCGCTAGGCAAAATTCAATTGATCGACAACTCCATAAGCGCAATTGTAGAGGAAGGACGGCTAAGATAAATTAACATTACGACGATGCATTTAATGCTGATTTATGACTTTATTGCTGATATATATGCATTTTTATAACGCTGGTATGGCCCTATCCAGCTTGTGCACTTACCGTAACTAAACGGAAGAGCCCATTTTGTAATTTAGTTTTTTGACCGTGGGTCTTGTGTTGGTACAGGGTCTATAGTTGAGGGTCTTTGAAATTCTTAAAAAGGTTTCAGAAGGGTCATCATTGAGGAAAACGACTTATGACAGTAACTTCATAAACCTAACCAAGAGGTCTGACGGTTGCTGTTCAAGTTCACTGAATGCTCTGATTATAAAACTGTTGGGCTAGCAAAGGGCTTGGAACATCTAAATCCAGATTGCTCATGTTTGCTTTATAACATATTAAGACAGAAACTTCTTGGAGTAGTCGATTGAAACTTCTTGGAGTAGTCTTGGAGTAGTCGATTGAATTTGGTAAGATGTTCACAAGTTTGCAGGTTCTGAGCCAAAACTCCTGTTGGTAGATAGATTTCTTTATTTTCGGCAGTTCGAAAAAAGGTTTCTCTGATAACCGGGTGGCTCTGTCGAGTTCCTTTAAACAAAAATACTCTGTGGCATCAATTTTATAGTAACCATTCAACATCTTGAACATAAATAGTAGATCCAATAATTGCATATACAAGGTCAGCGGTAAAATGTTGCATTGCATCAGATTTGTTACGTAGTCGTTCCGGCCATTTACCCATGGCCATTTACGGACAACATACAATCTTACTTTTTGAATGTTGTTTTTTAAAATTAATTTATATCATTTTTGATTGAGAGTTGCTCTGGACGCAGCTATAAAAAAGTTAAAAAGGGGCTCTTTCTAATTAATTACGGTCGGTGCACAAGCTGGATAGTGCAATAACGGCGTTATAAAACTGCATATATATCAGCAATTTGTATGATTGTATCACCATCCTTCCTCTGCAAGAGCGCTTAGAAAGTTTTCAGTAAACTGGATTTTGCGCAGTAAACTGCACCCCCTTATATATAGAAGCAGCTGAGGAGCGCGAAGCTTGTCTTGGTTCTTATGTATTTAATCAGTTCCGGTAGTTTTCTTGTCCCATTCATTTATTTTTTCAGCCAATCGTTGCAGCTACCGCTTGGCTGTCGTAACAACGCAACCGTTGCATCCGAAAATTGGCACGTAGAAGCTACTCTGCTCTTCTTTTGAAAATATTTGATGATATTGGAAGTTTTTCAGCGTTTCATGTTTTTTGTATGTATGCATTTTTCAGAAAACTTTGCTATGTTTTGGCATGAGGGCGGAAATTGTTTTATGCCTAAGAAAACCCGCCTAAATGGTGAGCCACAGTTTTTTTTTAGCTTGACTTAATGTCAAGTCGAGCCTCATCACAAATTGTAGTTAAATTGTTGACAAAGCTTTCTATGTCCAATGATTAACTTTTAGGCTCAATCTCGACGTCATGACAAACCTCGTTCAAGAAGATGGCGATTGTGTCTCTAATTTACTTGTATATGATGCCTGTGTTTACGCCCTCTGAGTCGGGTTAAAATTTTCAAGATATTACATGTCAGTCCGTTTTTGGTCAGTTCTCATCTGTATCTTAAGTAAACGCCATTTCTGACTTCTGATTATTTTAGTTTGAAGTGAACTCTGCTTTCTGACAGAGCATTGAGCCTATTAGAGGCTCACTCTTCTCCTCCAGATCATTTGCATTTTTATCAATTTAATTAAAAGGTTTTTAAAAATTGTTTTTTTCTCTCATTTGATCAAACATTTTTTTTCGACTTTCGTACAAATGTTTATGGCCCTATCCAGCTTGTGCACTTACCGTAACTAAACGGAAGAGCCCATTTTGTAATTTAGTTTTTTGACCGTGGGTCTTGTGTTGGTACAGGGTCTATAGTTGAGGGTCTTTGAAATTCTTAAAAAGGTTTCAGAAGGGTCATCATTGAGGAAAACGACTTATGACAGTAACTTCATAAACCTAACCAAGAGGTCTGACGGTTGCTGTTCAAGTTCACTGAATGCTCTGATTATAAAACTGTTGGGCTAGCAAAGGGCTTGGAACATCTAAATCCAGATTGCTCATGTTTGCTTTATAACATATTAAGACAGAAACTTCTTGGAGTAGTCGATTGAAACTTCTTGGAGTAGTCTTGGAGTAGTCGATTGAATTTGGTAAGATGTTCACAAGTTTGCAGGTTCTGAGCCAAAACTCCTGTTGGTAGATAGATTTCTTTATTTTCGGCAGTTCGAAAAAAGGTTTCTCTGATAACCGGGTGGCTCTGTCGAGTTCCTTTAAACAAAAATACTCTGTGGCATCAATTTTATAGTAACCATTCAACATCTTGGACATAAATAGTAGATCCAATAATTGCATATACAAGGTCAGCGGTAAAAAGTTGCATTGCATCAGATTTGTTACGTAGTCGTTCCGGCCATTTACCCATGGCCATTTACGGACAACATACAATCTTACTTTTTGAATGTTGTTTTTTCAAATTAATTTATATCATTTTTGATTGAGAGTTGCTCTGGACGCAGCTGAAATATAACCGGGATCAACTACAATGACTGTTGGATTTTGTTAGATTTTTCTTAGTAACATTAGGGCACTATTTAAAAGTGCTAGATTAATGTGAGGTACATTGTAAGCGAACCTACTGTACACTTCATCGCTTGCAACTTTTCAAATCGTTGGCAAGTTTTCATCGTTGGAAAGTTTTCATCGTTTGCTAGCAATTTGATTCGGATATTTTTACTGAAGAGGATTTTTTTTAAAACAGTTATTATTTATTAATATTTTATTCCCGGTATTTAAATGACCCATCGAGTTTTTGACGAAAAATCAAAAACTTCTCTGCATCTTCTGATCCTAAGAAATCACTCGTTTTTAATTTAGACCAATTATCCCTGTTTCGCCTGCCTAGCTACCACTGTAATTTTTTTATGTTAGTTCAATCTGGGTATGTTTCGCCACAGATTTCGATCAAAATGAGTTCAATTAGAAACAAATATTTTAAGTTTTCTTCGTTTATTGCCTGGATCGAATTTCTTTTCCATACTTTTTGAGCGTCATGGTGTTTTCATCCAAGAATTGTTGTATCGCAAGTGGCGGTAAGCTCAGCTTTGCTTCTGTGCTGAAGGGGTGAGTTAAGGAGTGACTGGAAGTGTTTTAAAGTAATGACTTCCTTTTCAACTGAATCGAGTTTCTTTCAATTGCTTTGCGACTACTGCTTTCTAAACGAGGATTCTCAGCGGAATGGTTTTTTTTATTTCACCTCGTTTTAGAAAACAATGACAACTAATCAGAGCTAATTTTGCTACGTAGCTATCCTTGCGCGCTGTGACTATTCTCGCTGGCTTGATCGTTGATCTAAATTGATCAAAAATGGATCTTGACGGGTTTTTGAATCACAATAGCAGCTCAACGCCTGTATCCAATTCAGCGGGAGGTGCTTACTCGCCTTCTTCGCCCATTAATTCTGCATCGCACCACCAAACAGCTTCAAACAATCCATCAAATGGACTGAATTTCAATCCGAACAACAACAGTCCGCTCAGTGCCATGTTTCCGACCTTGACTTCATCGGCCGTTTCCCCTGTATCGCCATTGGCTTCTAACAATCCGAACTCCTCCAACATAGGGGCACCATCTGCACACAGCGGTGGACTGAACTCGGCACCCATTCATCCGTTATCGAACACTCCCTCTGGATCGTACAGTTTAACCCAGGGATACAATGTACCGGGGCCTAAAACTAGTGGCCCTAGGGCGAGTGGTCATTCGTCACGCGGTTTGTCCAGTGGCTGCGGTTTTACGGGCAACAGCAATATTTCAAATCAATGCCACCCGTTTCTGCCTGGTAGTCCAGCCTCTCACAGCTCGTGCTATGGCAAGCTATCTGGAAATTCCACCAATTTGGCGGGAACAGCCAATGCATTAAGTTCTTCCTCACAAGAAACTGCAAATTTCCATGAAGTAGCAACAGATGACGTCTTTAAGGTGAGATAATTGTTTTCAAATTGATAATCTTGGTTGCTAATTTTTGCTCATTTAGTATCGCGTGTAGAAATATCAATCCGAAAAAAATTAACATACAGAAAATAACAAGGATAGCCAATTGCTGCGCAATTAGCACAGAATTTTCCTACCATAGTTTAAAAAAAAAATACATTTTTTTAATTGTCGTTTTTTCTGCGTGGTGTGATAAAAGGATCTGAACGGAATACAGAAATTTGGCCTATTTGACATTCATAGTAAATAGGCAAACTGGACAACAGTTAAGTAGAAAAATGACTAGAAAAACAAAAAAAAAATAAATATACTTATAAAATTTTTTGATTTTATGAAGTTTTTGATTCCCTAAATGGCGCCGAAAAACTCCAAAAACTAACGTTACTCGAGCAAGACTTAGTTTTCACGGCTTAAGCATTAAGCATAAGTAAGCTCTTCTAAGCAGCCTGCTCGCTCGCTTTATTGGCTCGAACTTACTTTACACTAACATTTTGAACCTGTTTTTCTCGACTTTTTTTGAATTTTTTTAAATGTCGTTCGAATCACGACTGAAAGGGCTTCGGTATGATATATCACTCGACCATTCCGATGATTTTTTGTGGTACCTGATTTTGCGTGGAAAACATTTAACAAAACTAAACCATACACCCGAATACAAAGTTCTTCCTTATTTTCAGTGGCCGTAACAAACAACTTAACTCAGCGCAATTTACTCCTTAACCGTATTAACCAATACTACTGTTATTGGGTGAACAAATTTTCGGTATTACTGTTGTAATTGACAAATTCGATATTAAGTTTTCTTCTTGCATTTTTTGTTCTACAGAGTCTACTGGAAATGTACCGACAGGAGGTCTTGTGTGACGTAGAATTGGTCGTCGGGTCACATCGCATTATGGCACACAAGGTTATTCTAGCCGCCACTTCACCTTATTTCAGGTTAGTTTACTTTCACTGGAATTTTTCACCCGAAATTTGTCGTTTATTAATGTTTTGTGAAATTAAGGTCGAGCAAGTCTTATGACGTGCTAGATTCGACAACGTCAAGAAACGACTGGGATGTCTATTGCGTAGATTGGGGTTTTTAGGTCGATTTTAGGTACCTCAAGCAAAACTCCGTGGTGGTCATCTGTGGTATAATATTAAAGCAATGTCAATCGTGACTCAGACTCGAAAAAGATATGAGGTAAAAAAATTATCTCAGTGTCGAGAAAAATTGGGTCTCTCAATCTGCTGCTTGTTTTATAAGATGTTAGTTATTATTTCGTTTTTTGATTTAACGCTTATCATATGCTTTTATTATTTATGGTTGTATGGTTAATTTTATTATCGATCTATCTTTGATATATTTAATAGCAGGGTTCATTATCTTGTCACGTTTAAGCTTTTTCAGCGTCTTATTTTTGCATTTTTAGCGAAAGAAGTTTTTCACGTTTAAGCTATACCGTATGTTGCAATGGTTAAGATTTTTTTTTCGATTTTGAATTAAGTGTTTGTTTTACCGATTCAAAATCAGCAGCCCAATATTGGGAAGCTGTCAGGGTTCTTCGACGGCTTGCAATTTGTCATTCAATTATGAATGCCCAAATCATTTTAGTGTGCAATACTGAAAACTCAAACAGAAAAAAGTTGAAATTCCCAATCCTGTAGATGGGTGCTGTCATAGTATTCTCAAGGATTGCGAATCTTCCCTCCAAGTATGACTGCTCAAATCCTGGTAGTTTTTGAGATCTGACGTTTTATGATTTCTTTTTAATTTTTCAGAAAACTTAGATTTCTGAATTTACTCAAAAGAAAAGTTGAAAAGAATTTGAATTCTCAACCTTGTAGTTGGGTACTGCGTGGAAATCTCGGGAGTTGCAAATGTTGAGTCCAAATGCGACTGCTCGAATGCTCTTAGTTTCCTAGATGTGCCGTTTGTTTTGTCTTTTTTTGTAAATTGTTCAAAGAATTTTGATATAACAAATTCCACCAAATTTGAAGTTCCCATCTCTATGCCGAGGCTCTAACAGGGTACTCCCAGGAGTTGCAAGTTTTGCCTCCAAAAATGACTGCTCAAGTCCTTGTAGTTTTCGAGATATGACATTTTTGTGATTTTTTTCAAAAAAAATTTTAAAACTCAAATTTAATTTTTTTTAAGTTTGAAATTCCCAACTCTGTATTTGGGGGCTGCCAGAGTAATCTCATGGGTGTCGGGTCTTTTCTTCCAATATGACTGCGCAAATCCTTAGTTTTCCAGAAATAATTTTTTCCTGATTTTTTCAAAAATTGTTCAGAAAATCGAAATTATATTTTTCAGTTTGATTTCCTAAACCTGTAATTGGGTGATGTCAAAATACTCTCAGGGTTTTGGAATCTTGTTGCCTGACTGCTCAAATCCATGTAGTTTTTGAGATATCATGTGTTGAATGATATAGAAAATTTTACAAAAATCGAAGTTTCTATCTCTATAGTGAGGCCGCTCCAGGGTACTCTCACAGATTTTGAGTTTTGCCTTCGAATATGAGTGCTCAAATTTCTGTAGCTTTCAAGATATGACGTTTTTTGTGGTTTTTTAAATTCAGAAAACTTAAATTGAAAGTTTTTTTTTCAAAGACTGAAATTCACATCTCTGTAGTTGGGGGATGTCAGGTTACTCTCAGGGGTGTCGAATCTTGCCTTCAAATTTGACTGCTCATTTTTAAAATAGTTTTCCAGGTGTGATGTTTTTGTGATTTTTTTTCAAAAATTGTTCAGAAAACCTAAATTTATATTTTTTCAATTTGATTTCCTAAACCTGTAATTCAGGACTGTCAGTGAACTCTGGGTTTGCGAATCTTGCCATCAAAAATTATTGCTCAAATTCATGTAAATTTTGAGATGAGACGTTTTTTATGGTTTCGCAAAAAAAATGTTTTAAAAAACTTAAATTTGAAGTTTTTCGAAATTTGAAATTCCCATCTCGAATCTTGAATCGCAACTCGAATTCCAAGTTGAGAATCTTGCGTCCAAATGAGACTGTTCAATCAATTGTTTTTAGTTTCGGAGATGTGAAGTCTCTTATTTGTGATTTAAAAAATAATCATGGGACTGGGTTGAGTTATATATCATATTAAAGTCCTTTCGGCCGTGATTCGAACCAAAAAAATCACGTTTTTGATTTTTCGTCCTAATTCGAGCGAATAAAGCAAGCAAGCAGGCTTGCAACAGCTGAATTATGCCCAATTTAAGACCTTAAAACCTTATTGCAAGCAAGTAAAACTATCTTTTGGAGTTTTTATGCTTCATTTTGGGAACCAATAACTTCAAAAAATTTTCTGCAAGTTTTTCTTTGTTGTTCTATTCATTTTTCAACAAAATTTTTTGTCGAATTTACGTATATTACTATGACTGTCTAATATGCCTAAATTATATCCGATCCTTTTATCACACCAAGCTGAAAAAAATTTCACTCATTTAAAAAAAAAACGTTCTAAACCTATTTTTCTAAAGACCATGGTCGGAACATTCTGTGCTATGCACAGTAACCGGCTATCCTTGTAATATTATGACTCTACAACAAGTTGAAAGGACATTACCTTCGAAATTATCAAAAATAAGATCGTAAATTGTTTGTGATCCTTGCATTGGCACAGCACACTCTGCGCCATGTGCAGAGGTTTGTCTCAGAAAACGTGTTTTTGAAATGATTCAGCAAATAGTCGTGAAGTCTGCTTTTGAGTCTGTTTTCTTCCAAGTAGTTCACATCTACAGGCAAATTGTTGGAGACAGGTTTTTTCTTGACTGATGGAAGGCAGAAAATTTGTTCGGTAACCTGGAATTTCAGTTCGGAATAAGGTAGTGGTCTAGTCGATGCATCACTAGTCTTTCTCAATAGCGTAAGTGCTCACCTGTTATCCAGTGTGTCGCGCGGCGTTGAAAACTTTCAAGTGTTTTAACACCATTTTAGAGGGGCACCATCGAATTGTAAAGATTCACATTATTTTGCATGCATACAGCTGGTGAAACATTTCTTTTTTTTTGTAAAAATACTTTCGTTGCTTGTATTATATCCCTTACTTCATTAAATTAACGATTTTTTTTCATTTGAATTCGTAGAAAATGTTACGGTGGGTGGAAAGTTAAGAAGGAATACTTGTTTAGAGCCATGTTCAGTGGGAATATGCGAGAGAGCAGCGAATCGGTGGTGGAGTTGCATGGAATCGAAGGAGACGCAGTGCGACTGCTGATCGACTTCGTCTACACACACGAGATCTCTCTGTCTACTCACAACATATTCTGTGTGCTCTGTGCTGCCAACCAGCTCTCCTTCCTACAAGTCATAGAGGCCTGCACCAAGTTTCTCAAGCACGGCATGAACTTCAATAACTGCGTCATCATCAGGTACATCTACTATCACATGTTTTAAGTGAAAAATAGTTTTTGAAAAAAATTAGACAATAGTAGCCGGCTGCTGTGCAGATAGAACAATTATTATTATAATATGATTAAGAGTAATGAACGCTGCGAGTAATGAAGTCTTTAATAACTACAGGTGTGTTTTCATACATATTGATGCATTTATGAATGCATTTAGGTATATAGGCACTTTTTGAGTTCAATTGAAATTCATCTGCTGAAAGTGACAATAGCACTCTCCAATTACGAACGTGGAAATGGCGCAAAAAACATGAAAGATTTGTAGTTTCGAAAGTGGAATTGAATTTTAAGATTTCCATCGGAATAAAAACTTTACCTATTGATCCAGTTTTCTCAAGTTGCGTTCATTTTTTGTCATAAGTTGTTCTAAAAATTCAAAGAGCTCAAAGGGCATCGGTTTTTTTCTTTGAAATTCGAAAGTTGAGATTTTTTCTAGAAAGTCAGTGTTTTTTTAAGAGTAATGAACGTAGTTAGTACTCTTATATAGATAGGTCTTGCTGATTTTTTTTTTTCAGGAAAAAGTCTAAAATTTGTTCACGCTCAATTTTGGTCGTTCGCGGTTTGACTTGTGATTTTTTTCAAGTACAGTGCATTTATATTGTTAAAAAGAAGGCAAACTCCACTAGCGAACAGCAAAATTGTAATTATCACGAAAAACATGATTGACTTCTATTTTCGTAAATGGAAATTAATTATTAGATTTCCCAGCGAAATCAAAGTTTTACCTATTGATCCAGTTTTCTCAAATTGGGTTAATTTAAACATTAAAGTGTCCATCATAAAATGTTCTGCAAATTCCAAGAGCAATAAGGCCATCTATTTTTTATTCTAAATGCAAAAGTTGAAGGTTTTTGAAAAAAGAAGGCGTTTTTTTTCAGTTTCCATGCGTTCATTACTCTTTTCCAACTGTCAGTTGGCTATGTTTTATGTTTACTTGCGTTCATTACTCTTTTCCAATCTTCGATTAGCTAGGTTTTCTATTTGCGAAGAGCGTTTTTACCAGAATGAAAACTACTGTCGAGACTTTTTAAATTAAACTTGGACAATATTCATGCAAAATGAATGCAATGATATGGGAACATAAAACATATAATGTAGCATACAGTGCTTATAACGACTTTTGAGCCGGGGATTTTGGTCGGGGAGAGGGTAGACGTTTTTTCCCTTTAAGGTTTGACCTCTGAACTCCCAAACGCCCCCTTAACTGGTGTCTTACATCAATTTTTGGCAAAATAAAGTTTTCTAAAGGCGCCCTTTTGCAAAAAAAGCCATATTTGAGTAAGACCGTCCGCCAGAGAAAATTAATTTTTTGGGAAATATTTCATAAAGTGCCATAATTTTTGGCTTGTTTTGTCAAAATTCATCTGCGGCGCAGTAAGTTTTGTGAACATATTTAAACTAAGGTGGACACAATTTTTCCGAGGTTTTGACCAAGAAGTTTTTTTTGGTGCACCCTGTCATTACTGTACATTGCCTCCAAAGACGCCTAAAGAAAAATGACGCCTCGAAAGACGCCTAAATCAAAGACGCCCAAATGAAGCGCCAATCCGGTAAAAATTGATGTCGTAAAATAGTACCAAAATAGAAAATTTTTAAGAAAAAAAAGAAGAAAACTTTTTACAGATTTTTCACCGAGAGCTCCGTCTGCCGTTAATGTGCAATATGGGCTTTTATTGGTTATCAGAACAAAATCGAGGATGTGTCTTTGTTTTCCAAATCAGTTGGGAGATATTTTGGGTGATATCTTCCTCCTTTTAATAATTTTATTGAGAGTTCCATCGGCTAAAGTTCGGATCAAGAAGAACAGCAACTCGGCCAATTCATATAAGGTCAGCATGCTTCCACCGAGCAACAGCCCGAAAAGGCCTCCTATTGCACTGCTAGCCGAAAATATCTCATATTTCGCCCTCATGTTTGTATGAAACACAATAAGCGTGTCGAAATTGAGTGTTACTTCTGCGTAATTCTCCCGCATGTAGTCGTAGGTGACGTTTGGGTTGTTTGGCTCGATTGCCTTTTGGTACTGGTGGTACCCTGGAGCTGGGAATCGAGCGGATGTCACGTGGACCTTATAGTTGGTAAAACTGCATTGAGGTCTGCACTTGGCAAAACAAGTTCCTGGAAAAGAATGAGGCTTGAGCGAGAATTATGAAAAACAGGATTGAAAATTAGTCGAATGTGTTGTTTGCGAATATTAGCTTTGAACTACCGAGAGTTTTGAGAAAAAATGATATCAGCATGTATAAATTGACTCTAAGAAAATGTATAAGAGGCGCGGTTTTTTGAAGAAGAAAAATCCCGGTAAACCTGAGAATATTATCTCTAACATCGGCAGTATTGAACCAGTGTGTTCTGTTTTTCTCACAAGATTTTTTCTTGATTAAATAATTAATTAGTAATGTGGGTGGGGAATGTATCCGATCTCCTAAATTCCTTTTCCAGTTTCCTTCAGTACTTATTTAATGCTGCAGTTTTTGAAGAATGACGTTTTAAGTATCAATTAATGTATTGAAGACACATAGGTTGTTGTTCCGACCATTGAAAATGGGGATAAACTTTGTATTCGGGTGTGTTTTAGTTTTTTCTTATCTTCCACGCAAAATTAGGTACCACAAATAATCATCGGACTAGGTTGAGTGATATATCATATAAAGCCCTTAGAGTCGTGATTCAAAAATTTCCCGGTGTCGAGAAAAACCGGTTTGAAGTTTTCGACTTTTCGTCTTATTTCGAGTAGTCTTATTTCAATTGCTTAAAAGCTTGCAATAGCTTAATTTAAAACCTTAAAACTTAGTTATACTTGAGCGACTTTAGTTTTTTCCCGATTTTTTCAATTTTTTTTTTAGTTTTTCCAGTAATTTTTCTACAAAAAAATGGCTTTGCAAATTGATTATTTTACTATGACTCGAATATTCCTAATCCCCAGTGTTTCGTTCAGTTTCTTTTATCACACCACGACGAAAATAAACAACAATATTTTGAAAAAACTTTGTTGCATTTTTTTAAGACTATGGTCGGAACATTGTAATATTTGCACAGTAACCGGATATTCATGTCATGATTTGTTTTCTGTTTTTTTTTTTAAAGAAAAGTTGCGCTCTCCTATTACAGATGCAGAAAAGGCGCCAAAAAATTTGAAAAACTTCTAGTTTTAATTGTTAGATTTTCCAGCGGAATAAAAAATTAACCTTTTCCAGTTTTCTGAAATTGGGGTAATTGTATCAAAAAATTTCATTAAGTTTCTAGAATTCAAATTGTGCTTTAAGAAACGATGAACGAATATCAGACACTTATTTTTTTTTGATTTTTTTTTTTCAAGTTAAGTCTTAAAATTTGCACTTTTTTGCTGTTTGACTTTTGATTTCTATTTAAGGCTGTTGTTTTTTTCTTTATTAGAAGAATTTTGCTTAAATTTTATCTGTCTAGTAGCCCTATTAGTTCTTAGTCCGCTGCGTCTAGTAGCCCTGTTACTTCTTAGCCAGTTGTCTAGTTTTTCAGAGTCAAGTACATACGTTTGATTTCTTTTCAATTTTAGTTCGTTAGCTTTGTTAAAAGCAAGGCAAACTCTACTGTCTAACAGTGAAAGTGTAAAGATCTCAAAAACGCGAACACTTTCTTGTTTCAAACATGGATTTTCATTTTTATATTTAAAGCGGAATAAAAATTTAACCTATTGATCCAGTTTTCTCAAGTTGGGTTAATGTTATCAAAAAAGTGCCAATCCTAAATTGTTCTAGATATTCAAAGAGCTTTAAGGGCATCTATTTTCTTTGAAAATTCAAATTTGACATTTTCTTCTTTCCAAAAAACAAGCATTGTTTTAATCTGTTTGTTTGCTTTGCGTTTATTGACTCTTTTCCAACTGTCTGTTGGCTAGGTTCATTTTTTCTTGATGGGTTTTTGGCGTTTCCTTCATGATAGATCGGCCAACATCAGAAAGTCCCAGAAAAGCCAGTTTTGAAACGCTAAGTTTTAGAAAAATTGTAGTAAAACCTAACAATATAAAGAAAGCTATGGTATCATTGTCGTTTTAAAAATAATTTTACAACTATGTTGTTATCGCTCTTTTTAATCGCAGCGGTATGTTATTTTAAAGTTATTTTAATCACGTTCGCATATTAAGTTTCGCATGGTATCATCGCCATTTTGAATAGAATTTTACAACTATGGTATCATCACTCTTTTGAACCGCAGCGGTATGTTATTTTAAACTTATTTTTAATCTTGTTCGCATAAAAAGTTTCATGCGAAACAAAAAAAAAATGAAAAACGATTAATCGCTAATGCGTTGTGTTAAAATTGGTATTTTGTAAACATTTACCCTGTAGAATTATTGATGCAGGGTAGATACAAATTAAATTTAATGTATTGGGGCTTTTTTATTCTCTGCTTTCCTTGAAACATATATAAATTGCCATTGGTAAGGATGCTTAGGATTATCAAGCGTTATTTAATCGTAGTACTGACTTTTTTCAGATTAAAATGAAAAATTAAATTGAATCAGTAGTAATCATGTGCGCTACATTATTGTGATGCCTTACTAATTTTTTTTTTAATTTTGATTAAACTACTGAATAATTAATCGGTGTTACAGTACTCTAGTATTTGTATTAGTACTCTGCAGTTTTTTTCTTGATATTGCAGTATATACTAAAATTAAAGTGGAGCGCATTCCAAAGAAACGCAATTTTATGGTCAAAATTTCCAAAAAGTTCTCTTAAATGACATTTGTTTTTTTTGAAAATCCCCTGCACATAAAAATCCTAGATCCGCTCAAGACTAAAATTGATAGTAATTTTGACTTTTTGTGTTATTTTAAATTTATTAGCTCCGGTTTTGTATTATTTCCCGTTTAATTTTTTGCTCACAAGGTTTGTTCGGCATTAAATGTTTCCGACGATTTATAGATATTTGGTGGTAATATGGCGCAACGGGCTTCTACCCAAGTATATTCGTCTTAATTA